TGCGCACAAACCAAAAACCCTTTTGGTGCCACAACACGTGGAATGGATTTCCTAGAGGCTACCAAAATTTGCGCGCAAAGGTAAAAGTCCTGGTGAGGTTGCATCGACCTCCCCATCCCCTGTCGACCTGGGCGAGTGTTAAAGTTTACAGGGAGAAGGAGCCACATGTCCTTTCCCGACTGTTCCAGCATCCAATTCATGCGAGCCTTCGGTCGTGTTCAAGAGGCACTTACTAGATCCCGAAGCGTTCTTGTTCATCAGCAATTTCCCTCGCACCACATGAAATAGGTAATGACGACGAACAAAGCACAAACAACAAAAGGGATGAGATGTAACTGCCTCACGAGCAATCTTCTCGCTCCCATTCATTAATCCGCACGTGCTGATGACGTTGAGAACAAAGCCACACAGCTCAGGCACAAGACTGACACACACCACACGCTAATGGGTTCCCATCGCTGCGAAGATCGCTCGCGGCAGTGTTTTGACATAGATTCCTGGTATCAGACCCTGCATCGTAAAAACTGCCTCGCCGCCGATGGCTATCTCAGCTATCTTCCGAGGGTGGGGAGCGGTGGTGGTCGGCGCCAGAGGCGGCCTGGGCCCTCTCCTCCCCTGGGGCAGCTCTTTCGCTGCAGCTCTTTCATCATAACCTCATTAAGTCGCGGCCGCCCCCTCGGCCGCATGATGCGGAGATTGACTCGGCTAATCGGACCGCGGGGAGATGCGATCGGTAATTGGACAGGCCCGCGGAGGGACAAGCGAGGGTGGCGACCGCGGTACGAGACCGGGCGCCGAGAGAGCCGGTCCCAGGCGCGGAGGGGCAGAGCGACGCGTCGCTCTGCAGCGCCGCACACAGTTGGGCTCAATAAACGTATCGTTGATGAATATACGAACCCCACCTTGGCAAGATTTTCTTTGACGTACTCGTTTCATGTAACAACGGCACATGTCTTTGGTTATAGGTAGGCTCCCGCACGCTTCTGCCCGCCACGCAGCTTGATAAGTAAAGTCGGTTGTTGTTTCACGTTACGAATGTCGCAAGTGCCCCAATCAGCAACAGCACTTTTTTAGCTTTGTCCTCATCGCCCCCCCCCCCTCCCCTCTCCGCTTCGGGCGCGCCCTACCCGCGCCAAGTTCCGCCCCAGCTGTCCAGTAACTCGCCGCCTGAACGCCGCTGGGCGCGCTGAGGCGGCCTGCCGGAGCGGACCGGCCGGGCCGTCCCAGCGCGGCGCCGATCCATCAGGGCGGCGAGGCGGCGGTCAGCGGGAGCGGCGCCAGCCATCGGTCAGCCGGCTAGGAGGTCATCAGTCAGCGCCGGAGGGCGAGGCCGCCGCCCCCACTGCCCGTCCGCACGCCCACTGTTGATCTCCCCACACTCCTCGTGTTGATCTCCCCACGCTCCTCAGTCATCGGCCGTTCACTGTTGATCTCCCCGCACTGCCCATGTTGATCTCCCTACACTCCCCAGTCATCGGCCGTTCACTGTTGATCTCCCCGCGCTCCTCAGTCATCGGCCGTTCACTGTTGATTTCCCCACACTGCTCATGTTGATCTTCCCACACTCTCCAGTCATCGGCCGTTCACTGTTGATCTCCCCCACACTCCTCAGTCATCGGTCGTTCGCTGTTGATCTCCCCGCACTGCTCATGTTGATCTCCCTACACTCCCCAGTCATCGGCCGTTCACTGTTGATCTTGCTGCACTATGCACTCACTGGCGGCTCACTGTTGATCTCTTCGCACTGCCCGGTCATCAGCGGGTCACTGATGATCTCCACACATCATCCCCTCACTGGCGGCTCACTGTTGATCGTCTTGTACCGCCCGAGCATAAGCAGGCCATGACTGACTGACTGACAACACTGTTAATATTTCAAGAACGCCTGGTCGTCCCTGTGGTCTTCCTACATTGTCCTCTCGATGATGGACAATGCGGTAAGTCCTCCCAGCTGGCTAGTCGTGGGTTGGCTGAAGGAAGTCCTCCCAGCTGGCTAGTCGTTGGTTGGCTGAGGGGAGCCCTCCCAGTTGAACTCCCCAGCTGTCCAAAAATAAGTTGAGCACTGCTCATTTTACTTCACTAGCCGTGCTCCGTCGCTATAGTACCACTGTTGACCAATTTCAAGACTGAGATATTCATGGCGGAACACTGTCAATCTTCCCAGACTATCAAATCAGCTGATCAAAGGTGATCTTTGTACAGTGCCAACCGCCCGCATATCGTTATTGATCTTCTCGCACTCCTCAACCTGTGGCAGATCGCTGTTTACCCTGTAAACACCGTTAATCTTCCCAAGTAGTCTTTCGTTGGCGGGTCACAATGGACGTCGCTAGACTGCCCTTGCACCATCATTGGCGGATTACATCACTGCTGATAGTTTCTAGCCTGCCCAATCGTCGGCGGACCACTGTGGATCTTTCGAGATCGTCCAGTCACCGTTGTACGCGTCCATTGCTATTGACGACGGGTGACAGGCCCATGACGTTTTTCATTTGCCGTACAGCAGCTCAGTGTAATGTGCGCTTCAGGAAGAAGTTGAAAAGAAAGCTCATACGAAAATCAACAAAGCTACATGGTACGGACTCTGTCAGGGAGCGGATTCAGGCGGAAGAACTCCGCTTTTTTCTCGCCCGAACTTCTTTGCCTGAGTTTTGTTCACAGGCTGCTGGTGGTTCGGTTCGCATCTGTCCGTCAGGCAGGTCGTTTATGACCAGATTGCCCAGCCCCGGGCGTTATGCCACTTAGAGGCTTGCGTTCCCGCATGCGCACTGTCGCGTTCATTTCCCAGAGTGCCGCTCTGCGGCAAAAGTATCCGTTGACGGTCCTGTGGCCGCTGCCGCCCGCCCCGTCCCGCCTCTTGATTATGTGAAGACTGCGGCAATTCATCACAACCGCCATCGCTGCACGCCAAATGAAACGGAAGCCGACCTATACAAACGAGATGGATCGCCATGCATAATTCATGCCTTCGAGGTCTGCTAAACACGATTTTCCTTTCGGAGAATTGAAACAGGACATCACAACGAGGAGCAGCCTCCGCGGCGCCTTTTGTTCATGCCTACGAAAACCATTTCGCTGCGCGCGGTTTCCGGCCGCGAAAATAATACCAGGGAAAAAAGGACTATCCATGGATCGCAGAACTTCAAAGGGGGCGCAGCGATAACCGTGATTAAGACACTCAAACGAAGAAGTTAACTCCCAGGTCCGTATCCAAGTGAGCATCTAAGTATTACGAGCATTGCATTAAGGGTGCCTTCATGCACATTTTGTGTCAGACAAGAAGACCCAATTTTGGAGAACTTTTTTGTAATAGGTATCGAAGCACTGCTAACCGACTGATCGCTGGTTTTGGCCTATGCGAGCCCAGTGTGATAACCAATTGGCTCATGCTCTATGCGTGCATACTATGCTGTCAGGTTTATATAACATCTTAATGAAACGTCGCCATTGCAATATGTAACAGGCTTACGTTTACTGATGTGATTGCAAATCATGCCCAAAATAATTGGTACACAAGAGACTTGACGTGTCGCAACGTCAGTAAAAAGAAAAAAGAGGAAATATTATTAAGTGGTATGTCTGTGGATGATTTAATCAACATTGGATATGAAGTGCGTATATCGCGTGGGGAAATCCCAAGTGTTTTCCGAACATTCTGAAGCACGCGTGCCTTCCAAATCCTTAATGTAATACAAAACATTTGGTGAATAATAAGTTGCATGGTCTTGACTTATTACCCAGGTAAAAGGAAAGCCACTGACTTGTGTGATTGCAAGTAAAAATGTTTCCGTGACAATGTCAAAAGCAACAATGACGTTACGCACGCTACAGCTGCAATTTCTTGGTTATATCGTTCTTCCATTACGCATTTTCTGGTAAATTCTAACCCTTGTCTGAGCTCATTCATGCTTTGTTATAAACACAGCACGTTGACTTCAGGCTCATACAAGCGCCAACATACTAAAATGGTCAAAATGATATCACAAGGCACAGGCGGTAATGGCGGCACGTAAGCGCCGGTCACGTGGCTCGGGTATGCGGTGATATTATTTTGTTTTTCTTTGGAGCGTATCTTCGCTGGCGTTCACGGGTACAGCTGCGTCTTGCCAAAAGAGGGGACGAACAAAATGACATGTAACTAATGGAGCAATGTATGTATTGTAGCGATGTAACGTATGATAACTAATGGAGCGATATCAAAATACGTAACCGCCATAACCGATTCCGAGTCATCCGCATCGGTCCCAAGAGCTGTGCGAGCCAAAACTCGGCAACGGAAACCGGCAGTGATATCATTTTGGTCACTGTTTTATTACTTGCGCTTATATGAGCCTGTAGTCAAGGTGCCTCGTGTAAAATAACATATTTTCTCGTCTTCTTGTTTCCAGTTTTCAGAACATTCATTCCTTTCTTCATTCGTTGCCTCTTATCAATACCTGACTGTTCCTGAGCGGGCCACCGAAGGCGCCTCCGAAGCCCTGTGGACTTCGCTGGAGTCGTTTCGGTGCGGTTGTACTGACCGCTTAACCCACTCCCTGCTACTTTGAAACAATGAGAAGAATGCAACGATTTAAATATGTATTGGTCTAATAAAGTCCTTCAATTTTTACCAATACAATATGTAAGAGGTGCTGCGCCCGGGTAATAACACAAATACTTCCCTGGACTAACTCAAGTGGCTCAGGTATGCTGCCTTTGCCCTTGAAGTCCTGCCTGAAGAATAACTTTGAAGTACAACTGCCTTTGAAGTCCTGCCTGCCACCGTAGGAACGTGCTAGAAGGCAGGCTGCCGAGGTCTTGTCTGGCACCTGCTGACGGCGTGTCTTGTGTCGGCAGGATGGAGCCGTACCCCAGTTCGGGCTCGGTACTGAGCATCGCTGACCTGATCCGGCCGTGCCCGGCGCGGACAGCCGCCGGCGCCGGTGACACCCCGCAGCCGCGCGTGCCGGCGCTGCCCGGCGTCCCGGCCCCCGGCGAGCCCGACCCCGAGCCAGCCCGCCTCGGCCCCTACCTGGAGGCCATGCGAGCCAAGGGCCGACGGCTGGAGGAGCCCGAGGATCAGCCCGAGCCGGAGCGCGACCCGCCACTGCGCGAGACGGACGAGAACCGCGCGTTGCCCGGCCTCCGGCTCAAGACCGGCAAGAAGACGCGACACGGCAAGGTGATGCGGCTCAACGTGAACGCGCGCGAGCGCCGGCGCATGCACGACCTGAACGATGCCCTGGACGAGCTGCGATCCGTCATTCCGTACGCGCACTCGCCATCCGTGCGCAAGCTGAGCAAGATCGCCACGCTGCTCCTCGGCAAGAACTACATCATGATGCAAGGCAACGCCATCGAGGAGCTGCGCCGCATCATCGCATACCTGAGCCACCTGACCGGCATCCACGTGCCGACGCCCGCCATGGCCGCCTACGACTCCCTCAACTTGCAGGGCAACCTGCAGCCGCGCATGGGCCTGCTGCCATCTCTCGGCGACGACGTGAGACCGGAGTTCAGCATGTCACCGTCGCCGCGCGGACTGAGCGATTGAGCGAGGTGGCGGGAGGGCCGCGTGTCGCGCGGATGATGCGCCGGTTCAGATTGCTCGGCGACAAGCTCTGTGGCGAACTTAATGCTTATGTGATTGTGCAGAGGATGGGTGGCAAGGGAAAGATAGGTGACAGTCATCGAGAAAGTGAGCAGTATTGATCAAGAATGTATGCTCAATCGATCGATTGATCGATCTCAATCGATCGCGAGTCCCGCCGACCGTGTGGGATTTCGTCTGCGTATGAAGCTCGTACCTGTGGTGTGCTGGTGCCCATCGCGTGCCGTAGTTTGTTCTGGTGCTGACGACACTATGCTTCGTTGGCACGCCCGCAAGGTCTCCTCAGCTGTCTCGCTCAGGTGAAAACACCCCACTTCGTAACGGCACCCCATACACTCGTCCACTGGTGTGCTTCCGCAGGCATACATGCGCACCGGCACTAGAGGACACGGCAGTGACTAGATGCATGTAAATGTTTTCGCAATAGATCCCGTGTTTTGTAATGACCTTCCCAACTCCTCCGTGAATAAGTGTTTGCTGTTGGTGCATAAAAGGAGACACCCGGCTGTAACCTCATTCAGGCAGCCAATAGTTCTCACTGCACTTTATAGGAAAATATTCCCTGAAACAGCGCATATCTTGAGTTTAGGTTGCGGGCACCTCGGCTCAACGTGCTGCCTTTCTCATAAACCGCATATATCGGATGACAAGGAAGTTTGAGAAATCATGTTGTTGTGTTATGCTCCGTGCCCCCAGACTTTTTTAATTTCGTGTTTGGGACAATGGAGATAATGAATCAACTCTAAACGATATTAATCAACCAAGCATAAAAACAGCTATTTTAACTTAATTTTCTCCAGCACGAGCAGAGGCTATTGACTCCAAAAGTTCGCTTCTCAGCACCAGCAATTCGCAAACGCCAGAAACCACTATTCCGTTTTGTCTAACACCACAAGGTAATGAAATAAGAACAGCCCTTACGAGGGCACCGCCGTATGGTACTCGCCTGCTTCCGACAGGCGAACAGGCGGAGCAGGTGCCCGGGTGTTTTGGCGTCAACAACAATATTTTCCCGGTGTTAAGGACAAAACTGAAGGATTATTGTAGTATAAAGAGGGCACTCCTAGAACAACAGAAGATTCGCACCCATAGGGAAAGCGAGCGGCAACCTTGTATACACTTAACAGCAAAGCGATTCTTCGGTAGGCCCACTTCACAACTGTCTTGTCTAGCCTCCCTCGGCTTGGGCAGCAATAAAGCAGTTTGGTGTGCGACGACACGTCGTTGACGGAATGGCCAATCATAGGCAGAGTGCTGTAACCATGACAACCTTCGTAACGAGCCTATCTGGCATTCAGCAACACACCGCACGCCACATTGGGAAATAGAGGCTTTCAAAGCTATCATCTGAGATGAAGTGAGCAATGAGGATGGCGCGATACTGGGTGAAGTTCTACGACTCCGTTTATTGGAGGAGTTCATACCGTTCAATCTGATCGGCAACAAGAGCTCCGGCATGGTGGCCTGGAGCCGGGAGCTTAAGTCGGCGAGGCTGATCTCAATCATTCCCTCATACATTTCATGCATTTGACAATGCAAATCTGCTTTTGCGGGGATTGGGGCTGGCCATTTGTCGGAGGACAGAAATAAATGTTGACATGTGAGACGAGTTTTTTATCACAGCATCATGAGTGCAGTATAATGATGTCGGCGGCGATACGGATTTCTGCAACAACGGATGTCTAGAGACATGGAAGCCACGACCGACCGGCAGCTGCCCGGGTCATCGATAAGGACATGGAAGCCACGACCGACCGGCAGCTGCCCGGGTCATCGATAGGGACATGGAAGCTACGACCGACCGGCAGCTGACCGGGTCATCGATAGGCATGCAGCCCACCAGGCTTACCCACACGAGTGCACGCACACAAGCACACACGCACGCACGCACGCACACACGCACGCACGCACACACGCACGCACGCACACACGCATTCACCCACCCACCCCACCGAAAGAGTTCGTTTGCGCCGCCCCCCGACTGCGATTATGGCGTTCACACAACTGTATCCGTACGAGTACCAAATACCGGCCTGATTTTTTTCCGAAAGCTTCTCAAAACCTTCTGCCGCTGCTCAACCTCTGAGCAGAAAAATGCAGGCAGTTACAGTCGACCACAAACAATCGCAGGCAAGACGGCGCGTACGGGGGCTGTGCACAGGTCCATCAACGGAAATAGACTGTTGAATTTCTTTGACCACGATGAGGTAATCTTAAAACATCATGGTGAGAAATGCCCTTACAAAGCGCTCGCGCTCTGAATCGGTAAGACGTGTGTGCACCGCTTCTGCGCCACGCAGTAAGTTCCAGAAACATCCAGCACTCTTATTCTGAATTTCCACTGAACTTTATGATTGACGCAGTACAAAAGCCGTTCGTCCTAGTTGTCGTTTACTAAAAGATCTTTACTATCAAACAGCCGTTGCGCAAATGAACATCCCAAAAGAGTCAGGAAAACAGTAGCAATCAGCAATCACTCACTAAAACACCTCACGCTCTCGAGATTTAACCAGGAAGCGGTATCTACATCACACGTGCCTCTGCAAGAACCGGTCCGCCAAGTTGTACATTGGAGAGAAACAATGTGCATCGAGGGAAAACTTGCCAACATGGTTATTTGTAGCAAGGCAGCGAACGGCCGCTCATTTTGATAAAGAATATATTAAAATTACGAATGAGCCGTCTCTAATGTGATATGATAGTTATAACGTTCTAACGTTTCATAGCTATATCTAATAGTTATGAAACGCACCGAAATGTGAATACATCCAGTTGGCATGATTTCACCTGCAACACGGCACACAAATCAGACACATGGCTCATGGGGAATTGTATGTATCTTGCGACGGATAGCGCACACATCTCAGGCATTAAGCATCGTCCTGAAGGGGGGGGGGGCGGTCGACGCCCCTCCCCCTCAAGGTGTTCCTCCCTTTTGTGAGGATGTCTCTTCGGCATGCCATCTAATCATGCCAACATTTCCGGTAGCATATGAGGATTCATTGCACATTTTGTACGCCAAAAATGTGTGTCTAACATTTCTGGTTTCGAGTAGCGACGGTCTTTTGGAACACTGTGCGGTGATCGATGCGGCCGACGTGGGAGGCGGGCAGCAGCCGACGAATCAGCCGACCGCGCGCGCTAGGCAGCCGATGATACATTATAGAGCCCTGCATCATAGCTGTATGTGGAAAACAGATACAACTACATACCACTGTGGTTACAATAGAACAAGGAACCGGAAACACAAGCTGGCTGCTGACTCTACTACATAAACACACTTGACCCGTAATGGCAAAACCGCAACCGTGGCGCATTATCTATTATCCTGCCGAGCCAATTGTTTGCCTGTCGTCGTCCCCTCGATCACGCGCCACGTGAGTGGATCGGCCACATAAACCTCTCAGGCCGGCTCCGAGGACGGGGGTGGCCTCACCCTGCCGGCGGCGCAGCCTGCGTGCCGACCGGATTTGGCCCTCAGCCAATAACACGGTCGGCTGGTAAACAATGATTGTGCGCTATGTAACACCTGAGACGGACCCACGCTCCCTGCACCCGCCGCGGCACGCGGGGGGGGGGGGGGGAGAATCCCAGCCCGCATCTGCAGCTGGGCAACTATCTCAGTCTGGTGATGCGTGTCTGAGAGCTGCTGCAGCAGGGCCATCGAACGCGTTCCAGGTCGTTTCCATCCCTGTCAGCATTCAGCAGTCCTTCACTTGAGGGTCGGTTTGAGACGCCAGCTGCGGCCTTTCAGTGTAAGGACGTCGTGACAATGGTAAAACGTGCGTGACACGCAAAATGGCAAATGGACGAGGCTTGGACGACACGCAGGGATTACGCCCCTTTGTCTTCTTCGTTGGCATTCCGTGCTATCAAGTATTTTTGTAAGTTTTCCAGTGTTGGTGGCTCTGGGGGTTCCGGCGTTGACACACATTTTGTGTTTCAGAGGTTCTGAGCCGTGATGTTTGGAGGCTCTGAGCCCTGAGAGAGGTTTTGATGACCCGCTTACCTGAAACAGCCTCAAGGGAGAGCAAACAAGCAGCTGAACTACTTGTGTATAGCTGGCACAAGTTGCTTTGTTCGTGTTTTTCACCGTACCCCGGGTGCGAGCTCATTGTTCACCCTCTTTTTCGATACATGATGTTCATCTGCTGATAAACAGCGTTAGCGCGATTTGAACAGTGTTATCCTCACATGACAGGCACTGAAATTGTGAATGTCATCAGGTAATCGAATCCAGGAGGTTTGGAAATCATGTCTAAACGCTCTAGCAGCTGAGCTAATGGAGGTGCAGCATTCCATTGCTTACTGGTGTGGTATATGGGTGGTATATGGACAGGGGTGGTAAATACAGTCGTGCCATTTAAAACAAAAATGAACTGTGGCAGGACTGACTGTGGGCAGTGTAAGGAGGAATGTGGTGTTTCGTCTCATTTTAATTCTGTTCTCTTCTCCTTCTCCGCATCGGATAATGCTGAATTTTCAAGCCGAAAATTCGCGCCCTCTAGACTTATTGTCTTCTGAAGATGCCATGGAATGACGATAGCAAGACAAGTGTATAAAATGCGCTGATCTTATGTCACACGCCCGTCGACGGTCTCCTGTAGCGAACCGATCAGTTATTGGGGTCTTAAAAGCCATATATCTACTAGCAAGTATAATGCTTACATCGATGTGGTGATCTGAGAGAGAATAGTTTTCAATGTGAGCTGAAGTTTCCACCAGTTTTACATACAAGACCGTGTTCATAACGAGTTAACAGCTACGTGTCGACTAAAAAAGTTTGCCATTGGTTAACCGATATTGTTTATCTTTAAAGACTTGTGCCAGTCACAGAATTACTTATGAATCGAAATAAGCGTTGTTAGCGTTGAATGCATTGCAACCATGCAGCCTGAAAGGTAAAAGTCTGAAATACCAAGTGGTGCCTTATAGCAATCATAGCCATTTCAGGGCTGGAAATTCGCGTAATACTAGACTCGTGATCTGTGTGTTCTGATATAATGTCTCTGTATCAATGTTAAGTCCCTGGAAAGCAGTGCATCGTGTTCACTTGTGTAGCTGCGTGTTTGCTGTGTGTTTGTATGTTGTTTGGTGAAAGTAAAGACGTAAAAACACAACAAATGTTAAAACTGGTTTAGAAGTTATGCTTTGCAACAAGTGAGCTCGTTACGCGAAATGAACAATTCTGCGAGGCCAGCTTGTGACAAAAAACAAACTCACAAGTTAATACCAGCTTGGCAGTGGACCAGAAAACATGTGAGAAGACAACATCCAAATCAAATTTAGCGTATCGCTCGTGGAAACATAGCTGTTGACTTGCTTTGTGCGCTACAAAATACCAGCATCATAAATTTGAATATTTCTCCCGGTGAGTAAAACAAAGATGAATTCAATGCTGAAGTGAAAAAACTAGTAAAATAATTACATTGGTATATTTCTCAATTGCCAGGCTATCATCTAACAGCAGCAAACCGACAAAAGCAGTGGGAGGGTTTTCACAATTCATATTAAGTCTTCTGCGGCATGGGTAAGGGTACAATTATTATTTCTCCTTTAATTTTTGTTGGCAAATTGAGTTAGGGCAATCTGGTTTCATATGAAAAACTGGTCAAATCGGCTATTTTTATCATGTTTAGTCAAAGCGATACAATTGATTACAAGATTTATGACGAGCACCACATCAGCAGGCAGGAATGTTTCAAAGCTTGCGCCTCACTGTTTCGTCTAGTACATGGCAGCAAACATGACGGACATAGGGACGGTACGTACATGGTCACGGTGGTTCTATATCATTGTTACAGAGTTTATGGCATCTTTATGGTGTCGTTTGATAAACTAAACCGTGCAAGTGCAGCACAATGTTTTTGTTGTTCCTCATCTGTTGGGGTTGGTAAAATAGTTTTGGACTCGCAATATGTTGACGGCACTATTTCCTGGGTCATAGTGGCCGATATTTGCCGGGCTACACATTCCTGTGTATTTCATGTTTCATATTTTTGCCCCTCTTATCTTTTATATACTCATGAGTGCATGGCTATTTAATCTGGTGAGCGCAGTGCCGCACTTCCGTTACTGGAGGCGAATAGCAGATAAGCAAAAGTTTCAGCTATGCCTGCTGTGCTGTGAACATATGCCAATTATGACTCGGTTTTCATTCCTTCGCTGACAACGCGCATACGGATTGCTATCCTACGCCATCCAGTCCTCCCTTTGGCCCGCGTTCTGGGGAGGAAAGACGGATTGCTATCCTACGCCGTCCAGTCCTCCCTTTGGCCCGCGTTCTGGGGAGGAAAGACGGATTGCTATCCTACGCCGTCCAGTCCTCCCTTTGGCCCGCGTTCTGGGGAGGAAAGACGGATTGCTATCCTACGCCGTCCAGTCCTCCCTTTGGCCCGCGTTCTGGGGAGGAAAGACGAACAGCATAGGGGCGGGTGCAAGAAGCAACAACTACTGGGGAGTAGCTGTTCCCATGAAGACGGTAACGGGGTGAATATAACCTTTCCTTAAACTAACTGTCTGGAAAATGGCGATGTTCTTACACCCTATCCTACTGCAACATTGCGTGTCAAATGTGTCCCAGATCACGTCAAATGG